TCATGGTTATCAGAAATACAATAGGCTGTCACAATGAAGAAACATGACTTTGTATCAGGACTGGCTTCCATGGTTAATCTCTGTAAGCAGATGCTGTCTGTTGTTCTGTATGCATGCAGCCTCTCCCTGATCCCCTGCAAAATCAGCAGAGTAACAGAAACACAGGTGAGACAAACAGAAAGAACAATAGGTCTGCCATTTGGCTTTTGCTGGTTTACCCATATCCATCCTGAGCTGGATCCTTGTATGCTTCGGAGGTTATGCCTCCAATCCAAAAGCTGCACACAGCTATAAAATCCAATCCGTATGGCAAGGATACTCCTCAGAAGAAACACATCCTCTTTTCACTTCTCCTTAGGGAAAAGGTCTTCCCTCAGGTTATTCCCCCCCTGCCCCGGGACTGATACACTGGATTTCCGTTATCTTCAAAAAAAGCATGAGCGTCTATAGCAGTTCTCCAGCCTTGACAGGAAAGGAATCTTTTTCAGAAGACCTCTGCTGAATATTGTTCAGTACAATGGGACGATCATGCTCCTGTTCTCCATATGATCTCAGGGCACTTCTACCTCTGAGCACTAAAATTTTGCTTCTCTTTGGAAAAAAAATCCGATGCATATGGACAACTGACTCTTTAATGGAAAGTGTATGCATCAACCCGTCTCCTTCTGGCAGCAAGGCTGGAACAGGAGCTATCTGTGTCGCACAAGGCAACTGTATCTCCCTGCTACAAGGAAAAATCTGAAGATTTTTTTCACAAGAAAAAGCCTCTGAAGCCCAGCTGACCCCATTTCCAATTTCCAAGCCTCATGTCAGCATGTGGCTCTCAGTGGGTGCCTGCCCAACCCCTTGCAAGGCCCTCCACACCCCCTTGGAGACACCTGATCCTCTCTGCCAAAGGAAGGCATTGTCACAGGCAGATGAGGGGCTGCAGAGCACCTCTGGTGTGCATGGACCCACCGTGGGCCCTCAGCCAGCCTCTGGCTTCACCGGGGAAAGCACAAAAGGCAGTTCCAGGCAGAGATGGGGGCTGGCACTGCCTGTTCTCCTATGCTGGCCTCTTGTCCTTGATCTCACCCTTCAGTGTCAGCAGGGTCACAAGGTCTGTTCCTGCACTCCTAGATAATAAATACAAGCCCTTGCAGACATGGAGCATGGAATTTGTAATTCTTTAGGCAGGTATTGCTGGTATTTTATCACTTTCTCAAATGGCCCATCTGTCTAATTCCACCAGCAAATGAGGACTGGAGCTCCACAGTCTCTTACTTTGGGTGTTTATGCAATCAGCAAACCTTTTGGCTTGTGGCCATCTTCAGAAATAAAGATTAATAATATTTATTTATATCAAATAATTAACTAGGAAATACAGGCATGGAGCCGTGCTCAGCTTGATAATGAGGCATTATACAAACACACAGCAAAGCAACCTTCCATCTCTCAATCAAAGTAACAGGCAGAAAAGAATAAGAGAGGTACCAGAGCATAAGGAAACAGCATTTCTGTATCACAAAGGTTTATTGAAAAAATTGTTGCTTTTGTGAAAAAAAACCCCAATGTTTAATGAAATGACAGTCAATCATAGGGATGACTGTGCTGGGTCAGAACAGCAGCATTTCAAGTCCAGTCCAGGACTCTGACTCCTAGAGCAGCCAACAGTAATTGCCTAATGACAGCATGAGGACAGGGGAGGCTGCTCCCCAAAATGCTTCCGCAGGATGCGGATTTGCACCTCAAAGAGTTCCTGAATCAGAGGTGTTTGTGTGGAACATCTCTGCACAGATTTTTCTTCCATGATTATGCTTAATTGCTTTTTGAACTGATTCCTGACATCCTGTAGCAGTGAGTTCCAAGATTTGTTTTGTGTGAAGAGGTATCTTCTTTGAACTTGCCACCTCATAATTTCATTTGATGATCTCTCTTCTACCCCAGTTGCTATGCTACACATTTCAGTAAATAGCTCTCCTTGAATCCAGTGGTAACTTCAGGGGGGGAAAAAGAGAATAAACTTCATATTTTGAGAATTCAGCTGTATGAAAGCATATATATATATAATTATATAAAATACACTGCACGATATATTCCTAAATAGCAAGTCCATATTCTTTATCTTACCAAGGTCTCACAAAAAAAGCCACCAAAAAACCAAACCAAACAAAAACCAACCAAACAAAACACCCTTAAAAAAACAAACCCAGTGATCTTACACCTGACACCTCCTCCGATATGAAAGGAGCAATGGACTATATGCAATTAGTAGGATGAAAACAGGTGTAATGCAATTGCACTGTGCAGACCAAGAACATATGTGTTGTGAGCATGTCCACAAAATCAGCATACTTTAAGCAAGTAGGAACACATCTTGAAGTGACCCCCTGAGCACTTAAAATCTTGAGCATAGTCAGGAACTTGGTGTATTTTTAACATTTACCTTATCATTTTTTTAAAAAGGTAAGAATCTTCAAACAGGAGACTATTTGCTGTCATTCTGAGTCATGTCAGTTTTAATACAGTTCTCCTCCACTCAAGCAGAGGGAACGGGGATAAAAAGAAAACCCCACCTCAGGTGTTTCCATGGTGGATATGGGTTTATGCGTTCATTGTGTATGTCTGCTTAGGATCAGAAGGTCTGAGCTGTAAGCCCCAAGGAGGGCAGGCCTGCATCTTTTCGTCAGCATCTTACCCAGAAAGGGCCTGGCCCTGTAATATCTCTGCAACCTTCTCCCGTGGCACCATGGCTCAGACTAATGGAGTAGAGATGGAAGAGCTAAGGCCAAGGCGATAAACTTTATCAGTCCACTTCCTTCACTGGAACAGCCAGTCTCAGGTCTTAAACAGATGCTGTTTTAAAAGCACACACATAGCACAGCTGCCAGAACAGGGTAGTTGTTTTTTTTTTCCTGATGGCATGTCACCGACTTCCCTCTGCTGCTTTAGAGAGAGGAAGGGCGCACGGTTTGAAGGAAGGAAGGAACGAACACCTGCAGGAAGAGTCACCGAGTCCTTGAGGGAGGACTAAGTGACAAAGCCAGTCACCGAGGCCTCGAGGGCGTCACACCCTGCCCTGGGGCTTCTCCCAAGGGACAGGGACGCGCCCAGCCGGTTCCCCGGGGCGCGGGTGAGCCGGGACCTGGAGCAGGACGGGCGGGGCGGGCGATGGCGGCGGGGCCCGGGGCGGTGGCCCCTACCCTGCTCGCCCGCCACACCTGGCCCCGACCAGGCGGCACCGCCAGCGGGCCGCTATTTATAGTGCGCTATTTTAATCGCGAGGGGCCATTGGGCGCCGCCTGGGTGACGGCACCGCCGCTCCCGGGGCAAAGTCCCGCCGCCCCCGCCTCCCGGGCTGGCACGGGCGGTGCCGGGAGCGGCCGGCTGTGCGCATGCCCTGGGGAGCGGGAGCTGTGTCAGCAGGGAAGGGGAGCAGCAGCGGGAGCAACGTCTTCAGTCACGGACTCGCCGGGCTGGGGTGGAGTAGGGGGAGACTGTGGCTTCCTGCCGTGCTGCAAGTGGGGGAGACGCAGGTCGTCCCTGCCCCGAGGCCCTGTGTCATCTCCGGGCGCTTCAGCTGCCGCGCAGAATGGCGGGGCTGGGGGGCTCCCTCCTCCTGCTTCTGACGGCCAGGATGGAGAGGGCAGCAGCACCCGAGGGTGGGGTTGCCACAGGTCTACGGGTAGGGCGGACAGAGGCATATTTCAGGGGGTTCATCCTTAGCCTGGCCTGCAGAGGGGGGAGAACATCCTGTGGTGCGGGAGTCGCTTGTCCCTGTTGCTGCAGCAACGCAGGGATGAAAGGCTGGCAGGGGCAGCTGGGCTCACGAACCTGAGGGGAGGGCGGGTGCGAGGGACAAGTGACAGCAGGCACAGCTGCCTTAGGTGTTGGTCTGACTGTGAAGGTGTGCTACCTCCCTTGGGATATCCCTGACACCAGTGAAACCTGCAGGAAGCAGCCATGTTGAGTCCATTTGTAGATATACAAACTACCTTCACAGAATCAATTAGGTTGGAAAAGACCTCTGAGATCGAGTTCAACCTATGACTCAACACCACCATGTCAACTAGGCCATGGCACTAAGTGCCACATCCAGAACACCTCTAGGGACAGGGACTCTGCCACCTCCATGGACAGCCCATTCCAATGTTTAATCACCCTATCTGTGAAGAAATTCTTCCTAATGTCCAGCCTAAACTTGCCCTGGCACAGTTTGAGACTATGTCCTCTTGTCTGATGATAGTTGTCTGGGAGAAGAGACCAACCCCTACCTGCCTACAACCTCCTTTCAGGTAGTTGTAGAGTGGTAAGGTCACCCTGAGCATCCTCTTCTTCTGCTAAACACCCCCAGCCCCCTCAGCCCTTCCTCACAGGACATCTGCTCCAGACCCTTCATCAGCTTTATTGCCCTTGTCTGGACAATATGTTAATTCAGCTTTGCTGATTTGGGGGTCTAGATAGGAGTATCCTCACATCCCCAGTCTTCCATGACAGGATGGCCCAGAGTCTGATGGCTCCGGTCACTGCAGATTTTCTTTTTTTTTTCTTTTTTTTTTTTTTTGCATATAGCTCAAGTGCTTTTAACAAATGGGCTAAATATTACTCAGTGCCATTCAAAAATAGCCTCTAGAACACTGCACCCATAAAAGCCATGTGTGACTTTCATGCTCCGTTTATAGAAAGTTTGTGATTATAGTTGGGATATATGCTTTTGGCAGCTGCAGTCCCTCAAGTCCCCAGTAGATCTGCATACGTTGGTATGCATCTGAGAGTAAGGTCAGAAAACTCCACCAGGAAAGGTGAAAGACCAGATTGCCATTTCATGAGGTCAAAGAACTCAACAGTAAGTAGTATCAAGATCCAATTGCTTGGTATTCTTACATGAGTGTGGAAGTTTTTCCCATTCACCAAACGCTGTTCAACTAGAACAGCACTTTAAGAAAGCTACAATTATTAGCTTGGCAAATGTAGCATGAGACTGAACAAGCTGTGCAAATTGCCTCCCTTAAATCTTGCAGGAATCGTGATCCCTGGAGTTCTTGGATGTAGCTCCCAGGAGGATGCAGAAATCAAGCCACGTGAGCTGGGTGTCGGAAATCCCCAGTTTTCTACAGCCAGTAGAAAAGATGCTCCCGGCATCTTCTGGGAGCAATACAGGTTGGAAAAGCAACAACATATTGGTGTGGCCCTGAAGTACTCATTTGTGTAAGTCCTTCATCTTCCACAGGATTTTGCCTGCGCAGACAATATCTGTGTTAATCTGGAGCCTAAACCCAATGGCTCCTGGACAGTTTCTGGCAAATCAAAGGCCCATCACACACTAAACACACAGACGGGGATGGTTTTTTTACTATAACTGTTTGCTAACAGTTAGAGTAAAATATTAATAAGTTGGACTTTGAATAGTTTAGTTCACACCATTTCCTGATTTAGACTAGGTTTTTGGCAAGTGGAATGCAATACATAAACTTTGCAGAAGCTGTTTCTCTTTGTCCAACTTCTGTTCTAGGATTTCAGAACCTATTTATGTTAAGGCTTAAAAGTTGTTCCCAGAAGTACTGAATTGTTTAAACAAGAGATTATGCTACTGTTCACCTGGCACTACTTTGTAATTTCTGAAGAGCAATCCTGGCTATATGTCTTTTATACATACATTTAGAGGCGTATCATGCTATATGTGTGTTTACATATGAAACAGTGTTGAAAGAAAGGGAAATGCATTCCTTCCAGCAGCTGCTGCTCATTAATTCATTAAAAGCCATTCACTCAGGAATTAACATATACTATTCTGTAAGGGTTCCCAAGCTGTCACACTGGGACTACTACCAAGCCATATACAACAGTGTACTATTAAATTTTACACATTTCACAAAGCTGGGCACTTCCACCACTGTTGATCACATCTAGAAGATGAAATTGGGGAGTCTTTTGCCACTCACATTCAGAGCTTGATTACAATTCCATTGAAGCCTATGAGAGTCTTTTCAGGAATTTCACAGTGCTTGAGGGCATGCCCTCAGCGCTTAAAGGTTCATGGAATTTTTTATAAAGCCCACTGGTAAATTTTCCAGGGAAAAAGTTTAGGAGGGAGCAGAAAGTTAAGTCTGCAGATTTAGCATAGATCTGCTTCATATCTGGTTAGCTCTGTCCTTGTCCAAGTGTCTTGAGTTGTTTTGTCCAAACAAATATAAAACTAGATTCCAGTTTTATAATAGTCTTTATTTAAAGACAGTTTACAATAATTGGAAAGTCAAGGTTCACTGACATTAAAGTTCCTGAGTAGGCATCACAGTTTCGGTATTGTTCCTCGAGGAGCTATTTTGGAAAGATTCACACTTCTCAAATGCTTCACTTTACCGAAGTTTAAGAAGAAATTCAAGATTGTATTATCAATTTATAAATCCATCTGTCAGCTAAGATCTAACAAAAGCTTATATTTGGATGCAAGGATTTTATTGTCTTTGACCTAACAGTATTGACTGTCTGATAAGCAGAGAATTTCTGCTAATATTTGAAGAATAAACCTTGACTGCTGGGCTTATCCCCTATCACCAAAGCAAAGGGAAAGATTCTCTAGGCTTTCATTGACTTAACAGGGAATCAGATCAGAACTTGGGCCACAAGGAAAATGCAACTAATTCCCCGACATTAAAATAGTGAAACTGCATTGTTAGTGGAGTGGCTGATTTGAGTGGACTTTTTTCACTTACATGTAGTGATTGTAGTTGACTGGGATGAGCAGTTTTACCACCACCACACCTCAAGGGCATCATCAAGGAATGTCAGTGAGGTTTTATGCTTATTGAATCTCATCTTTTGTGGGGGGAAAAGATCTGAGTAGTGCTTAATGATTAGGCAGATCCAGTTTCTGCCTTGCCAGTGGCTTGGTCACCGGTGCAGTACACTGCTCGGAGTTTTCTGAGACTCCCAGAAAGACGAAGAACAAATTGTAACCAGTAAGGAATAGCATGTAATGGAGAGAAGTTTGGGAATGATGTTATAGTCATGAAAGGTGCTAATTTTGTGTTAAAGTTGTTAACATATTTTTATAATCGATTGCATGAAGTCAGATTCTACCTGCCTCATTAATAAAAAATTTGTAATGCACAGGGAAGGGTAGACTGAGGAGTAATGTCTGCCTTTGCATTCAGAAGGCTCTTTTAAAAGGCTAATGTAATGGAGTGCTTAAATAAAATTAGTTTGCCACATGCAAAAATTTCTTACCAGGCTGACCAAATTCTTGTCAACCTAATGAGAGGCTGAAAAATCTGTTTGGAAAGCCAGTCTTGTTGCAAATGTTGCTGCACAGAAAAAAAATTGCAACTTCGGTCATGAAAATATTAGCTCCAGCATTCAGGGAAACAGTGCACCATTTTGCAGAAGGGAACATAGAGGTCATTTTGGGTGCATGCTCATTAAGGAAAGGAATTGCATTGGAATGTGGTAGGGTAGAGAATAAAATTCAAAGCTCCTGTGTCTGCAAGAAAACAGGGCAGTACATATGCCACAGTGACTTCTGATGTACAGGCACGATACTGAAATTCTAAAAATGTTAAAGATGTAAATTAGGTTTACTGAAGATCGCAGTCCCTGTAAGCTGTCCATCAGCTCTCCCTGAACTCATTAGTCAACTAGTATCTTTGATACAGAAATGCCTGCTGGATCCATGCTTTATTCAAGCTCAAGTTCAGCAAGACTCTTAAGTGTATGCACAGGGTTAAACAAGTCTTGTAATTTCACTGAATTCTGGATGATGCCAGCAAGGCAGAGCTGAAGTCACAGAGCCTGACAATGAGACACAACATGCCACAGGGTCCCAACAACAGTTCATATATGTGCTTTAAGGCACGGAAACATTGCAAATCTGAGGAGGGTCTTGCAGATCCCAGCCTCCTTCTGGGTGAGTTCCGTTTGTTGCACAGCAGTGAAGTGTTATGTCTGTGGAGAAAGAAACGATTGAATAATGACATTTGAAACCTAATCTGTGACTTAGGGATCAAGAATAGAGGAATATCTATCTCTCACACAGAGGTAGATGTAACAGGACAGTACAGGGGTTGTAAAATTATATCTTTATTAGTACTTCTAAAGTTTGAAGAGTATTTTAAGGTGTTTATAAGAAATCACTCTGATGCTGGGAAGTAATGGTGGTCTCTTGCACTTCCTTTCTCACTGTTTCAGTTCAAGTACCCATCCTGGGCCTGATACCGACTGACTGACTGACTGAAATCCGTGAGCATTTGGAGTAAGACCAGGGTTTCTCTAATGCTATTTCAAGCTGCACGAAGCAGAAGTCCTCTGGAACTAACAGAAACATTGAATTTTAAAGAGATGGGATAATTTTCACTTCCTCATTTTTTTCATTAACATTGATTTATTTTTACACAGTTGCAGGCTGGTAGCAGCGTGGGCTGGGGCTGGACCAGAAGTGCTTGGTTTTCTGTAAAGTGTTTTGTTTGCTCACCTGAATGTGCCACTACTCCCACAGAAATGCAGTACTCAATGCAACTCAAGTGTTTACACAGCACTGGTGTAAAGCAGGCAGTAGATCGCTTCCTTTATGGATAAACCTGTGGGTACATTCTGCTCACTGCTGTATTAACTGAATATTAATGATTAATGAAAAAAAAAAGACATGAAGAATAGTTAAACCAACTTATTATGGTCTTAGGATAATATAAAGTTTACTGACTGCTGTAGCAGGCCCTTCCCATCCTGCATGTACTGCCCTGTACACATGTTCCAGTGAAGGTCCTGGTGTACACCACAGGAGTCTGTTTCTCTCCCAGAACACCTGGAGCCAGCCTGAGGATCATTAAATTACAGATCTGATTAAAAGGAATCTGTTATTTTAAAGAATTTCTCTTCTTTCTCTTTCTAGGACAAACAACTGGCATAGGCATTGAGTTGAAAACAAACAGGGCAACTGTAGTGACCAGGACCATTTTAATTTTACCTGGTTACCTCAGACTTTTATATCTGCTGAACCTCTAGTTCGTTCTATTCATGTCAGCTCAAGTTTTCTAAGAAACATAGAACTTACCTCTTCCACATCTATTCGTGTTTAAATAAGATTGCATAATAAATCAGGTAATAGCACCATGGCTAAAAGTAGCAGAATCAGGCTGGTAAGATCTAATTCCAGACGACTGGCACACACAGACTCTTAATCTGATGTTTGATAAGGCCCATAAATAGCTGGATTGCTGCGATCCTGTGATCAGGTTGACAGAATCATCCTGATTCTGACCTCACACAAGTGCAAAAGAATTTCTGACTTTGTCCCTGTACACTTCATGCAGGTCTTTAGATTATACTTAAACCGTGAACACAGTTCAAGGTTATCATTTCACATTAACAAACGTTGGCGGAGAGACTAATCTAAAGTAACCAATTAAGAATGATCGTGGGAGCCTGTCGTAGTGAAGTCATGGAATTTTCTCCACTAAACCTCTCGGTTACAGGCCTTGTCCCACCATCTTGACTCTGAAGGGCTTTGACAGGATTGCAAGTTTGAAACCTTGAAAGGGTCTCACCCTCAAGCATCACTAGCTTGCATTGAAACAACTTGCAGATTTCTTTCCCTTCTCTGCAAACAGGGTTTCACTGCAGCTGAGTTTCCTGTAAATGGGTTCCACAGAATTAATTACTGTCTAAAAATTATTCACTTATCTTTTTCCTAATGTTCTTACAGGATGTACCTTTGAATCCATCTGGGGACTGGATACGTAGCATTGCATTTCTTGTCAAGGGAGTAGTAAGCAGGTTACCAGAAGAACAAGAAAATAACCTAAATCCACATTTAAATCCTGCAATGTACTTGTCAGTGTGAGTTTTACAGTTTGGTTTTTTAAGGATATTCATTACAAAGTAAACCTTTTAACTACACAAAATTTCTGCAATCATTTTTCCTGTGCACTAACAATTTAAACAAAAATGTTATAAATGAAGTTAAAAAACTCAATCTCAGAAATTTACAGCCATGGTAAAAATCAGTGCCTAGAGACTTTAGAGCCAGGAGAAATAATTTTGATTGTCTTTCTTGTCTAACATGAAACTCAGGTTGTCAGTCAGGAATTCCAGTAACATTTGTTTAGGGCTTTGTTTGAGTTAGATTGTCCTGCTGAAATTTAACACCTGCAAAAGCAAACAAATCTTTTTCTTACTTCTTATTTAAGCCATTATTTACTCACCATTGATGTGTTGTGGCATTTGAAACACAATACTTAATTGCTGCTTGAAGCACTGAAAAAGAGACCCTTTCAAATACAACACGTTGGAAACCATGGGGAAAATGGTGGCTTGAAACCACACAGTATATTGCATGCTGCATTTTAAGGCAATTTCTGTAAAGAGGCGTTCATTTTTTGTTTTTACATTCTTTTTTTTTTAACTAAGGGTGCAGACTGAACTCTGAGACAAGAGAGAACATTGTGCAAGACTCAGTGCTGTTATCTAAAGAATATTGTTTCTTATCTCTCTGGATTTGTACAGCACAGCATGGCTAAACTACAGTGATGAGTGAGCAGTTATTTCAGGCGACAGGGGTGGAGGATACTGAGAGGAATGTAGGGAAGGAGTACATTTAGATATCTGGAAAGATAATACATTAAAAAATTATTCCTTGCTGTCCCATTTCTTGCTTATGAGAAAGCCTCCTAAAGGGATCAGGAGAGTTCCAATCACTTTGGACACCAATGTTAAAAATGGTGTGTTGTGCCCTGAGAGAAATGGTGTGGGTGAATTACTTCCATTAGTCCTGTCCACATGGCTTTCTGGGAACACCTTAGGTGCCGTTCTCCAGAATGCCCTTGAACCTTCCCAGGTACATCTGCTCTGTGGAGGGTCTTCACCTATGAGACCGATGTCTTGCTTTGCCAGTGCATCCAGCTGTTACTCCACCCTGTGAATCAGCTGCACATGCACACCCTGTTTTGTTGTTGTCTCTAAGGACCTTTTAGTGTTTTCCTGCCTCACCATGTCACACAAGTAAAGGATAACCAGGCCAGTAGCCAGGACTCTCAGTTTTCCCACTCTGTGCTGCTGTCCTGCCTGGCAGATCAGCCATGGAGGGCTAGGCAGGGAAACCACCCTGAAGGTCTGGATTGCTGTGTTGGTGTGAAGAGGGCTGAGCACTTCTTGCAGGCTTTCACAAACAAGCCTCAAAGACCAGATTCCTCATGGGTAGCGGGCAAGAAGCCACTCATTGTCCCTGGGCCCAGAGCGCTTGGACACTCTGAAGTGAGTCTGTGGCCAGGTGACAGCATTTCAACACGCTGTGTCAGAAACAGGTCATGTTACCCACTATGGCCCACTGTGAAGCCCTTACTCTGACAACATCCCAAGTGCTCACAGCACATGGCCCTAAATCTGAGCTCTGTAAAAGAAGGCCATAGCTGACTTTGTACTTTCCCCTTCCTCTCTATCTGCCCTGGCAGGCATACCGCAGCCAGGGAGAACAACACAGGGCAATATCTTTCCCATAGGAAAATGCCGCACATGACAGCCTAGCATGCCTTAGGGATAATATGGTTCACTCAGAACTACAAGGGTGTTCCCAGCTCTTGTGTTCCTGGTCTCTCTCAGATCTAGAATCGAACTGGGGCTGTCTTTGGAGATGATCCGAGGTAAGATTATGATGATCTCCAATGCATATATGTTTGTATTAAGCTACCCAAAGCAAAGTCTGTAAGGCCAAATGACATGGGTGGGAAAACCAAGATGAACTTCTTGGATACAGAAACTCTACTTCATGTCTGATTGCTGCAGTGACAATGTTTTTACTGTTCCAAGATAATTAAACATACTGAACAATTAGCTCATGAACCACTACCTCTGGAGTCACTTTATCCTTACCCTCAACCGATACCAGGTGGAGGGACACAACACCCTGCTTCTGGAGTCCAGCAGCACCTCAGCCTTCTCCTCCCACACCATAAGTGCTTGAAGGTCAAAACAGAGCAGTGAACCAACAAATCTAGCTCCAAAGGTGTTGCTAGTAATTGCTGAGAGGTCACGCAGATGAAACTGTGGCACAGAAGGTGATCATAGTTTACATATTACAGATTTTCCCTTCTCATCTTCACGTCTGTCTTTTATTAAAGAGACCAAAGAATTCATCGTGCCACCCTTAAAAGATAATCGGCTTGTTAAGTAAGTGAAACACTGAGCTGAGCTGTGTTCTGCCTAGGAGCAAATCAAATCCATGCGAAATCCTGGTTACCTCTGAGGCAGCACGTCAGCTCTATTTTGAAGACTCGGGTGGTACTCAGTTAATAGCCAGGTTCTGAATTACCTGCTGCAAACAGGTGAAATTCAGCCGGTATTTTTAAGGTAGCACAGTGATACTATTTTCTGAAGTGTTTTGAGGAGTTGCTAGCCAACATGCTACAAGACTCGGTGTTTATCTTTTGTGTCATGCGTCAGCGGTAATTACTTCACAGGCTAGGTGTGTCATTGGGAAGCACTGAAAACTCCCTTTGTTTCAGGTTACCTGCATGCCTCAGTGTGGCAGGTGAGCAGTAATCAGCCCGATCCCCTTCTCCTCCAGCAAGGCCTTGCAGAAGTTATTTGGTTTGGTAGCCTCTTTGTTTCTGTGTTACTGGCTTTAAGGCAGCTGGGGCTGATTAGATAAGGGTACTGTGTATCTGCAGCCTTGACATAAAATAGATTTAGTTTGCCCTCAATGTTTAGCAGGGTTTTGAAAACCAATTAAGGATATATGTAGCCATTTGTACATTGTGTATGAGCTGTTTGCTGTGAAACACAAATAGTTTTTTCTCATGAATATTTAGTTGAGGTACAGTTCCAGGTAGGCCCTAGCAAAATATCAGAGTTAAAATTCGGGTCTGGTGAAAGTAGGCAGTGTTATGCTTTGTTTAGCAATGTCACCCTGCTTATACCTGCCTTGTACTTGGTCTTACGTCTTAATCAGTGCCTGCCTGTTTTCAGTATTATTGTGTTATCACAGAGCAAACAGAGGATTTCCCAAGAGATAGGTGGATTCTTGTACTTCAGACTCTAGCTTGGTGTCTTACTTATGATATACTAAGGTCAAAATTACTCTCCTTTATCTACGAGAAAAATCTCCATTAGTATATTTTGTCCTTATTCAGCACTGAGAGCTCCCTGTGCAGCTTGCACTGCTGCTGGGCAGCTGCAGCCTGAGGGGAGCAGAAATAACTTCAGCTCCTAATGGCACTTTGAAATGTTCATGTCTACAGCAGATGCAAGTGTTGCAGAGTAGGAGAGCTGATGTAAGGACCAATGAAAAACAGCATCCTCAATATTACATGTTTTCTGTTTCACTGTTGGATGCAGCCTTTAAGGTTAACTAGCCTTACACTACAAAATAAACCTAATCTCTAATGTTCAGAAGGAGGAGAGGCCTTGTTGCATAGAGCACTTAAATAAGGCTAGGCAAAATATGAGAAGATATCTGAAAGAGACAGTCCTGAGTTGAAAAATAGGCCAGAGTGATATCTGAGTCTTTTGAGCTTTACCTACTAACCTGTGCATCCAGAAATTTTTTCTGTTTCAATTAGGGAAAAATGTGAGAAAATGGTCTTTCGATAGCTGGCACCAAACTACACAGTCTTAGCAGTAAAGAGGCAAGAGCCACGCTAGATGTTTTATCTTGGTTGAGTATTTAACTGCAAATTGCATTATAGCTAATGGAACTTCTGAAATTCTGAAATTCTGAAAATACAAGTACCAGTCAATATAAACAACTTTCACAATTTACACTGAAAAAGGACTTGGCAGTGGAGAGAACTGGCCAGGAGGAAGAATCACTGCCATTCAGTCTTGAGACTGGGGTTTAAGGCCTTTCTAATGTTACAGGCTGGATTTGAGAATCACCAGGTGAAACTCAAGAGCTTAGTTTATGCTGAAAGTCAAACAACATGGTCGTT